ATATATTATTCCCGTGCATAATACATTTTTTTCTAAAAATAATAAGAAAAATTAGGGGTGCGTATTATGCACAGCAACAAAATTTCTTTAAAAAATTGCCATTTCATAGGTCGATTTCAGTTGCAAAATGGCTTACCCCACCAATATACTATAATTTGACACTAACATTTGGCGATTGCGACCCCATCAGAATGTCAAATACAATAACATGTACCTAACAATATTTACTAAAATAAATATCAATAATCATAAAGCTAAATTAGACTAAGATTATTCTATGTTTAAAACCATCTTTTAATAAGATTAGAAAACGCTGTCCGTAATGAAATTGGAGAGGTACAATTTACAGGGTTTGATTATCAAACAAGGGATGCGTATTATGTGTGATTAGAAGCATTTTTCTACACTCTCAGCACAATTGTAAGGGTGCGTATTACGGATGAGGCGTATTATACATGGCGAATTACGGTATATATATATATATATATATATATAGTGGGGAAAAATATTTGTATACCATGAAATTTTTTAATTAACATAGTCATAACTTATAAAAATACTTGAAATCCATACAATATTTCTACACTATTGCATAATGCTGCAATGTGAAAAATACATCAGAATATTATGTTATAAATGTAATTATGTGTCCTTCATAAAAGTTCGCTCGAAAAAATTATTCGTACAAAATATGTCTTTAATATCAAAAGGCTTAAATTACCTTTATTTACATAATTCTTTGTAAGATTTTGCTAGATTCTTCTAATTATCTTATTACCGGAAGAATCTAGAACATTCCGAAATTCATTTCTTATATAAGGTTATCTCCACACAGAAAACATACGCAATAATTACCATCATGGGGAAAGGTAAGGAACTATCAAAGAATTGATCATCAAACATTGGAAGGAAGGCAAAAGCTGTAGGAAAATAGCAGAGATCCTGAATATATCATTGACTACTATTACTTCCGTTATTGCTAAGTCTAAAAAGCTTCAAACTCTTGAGAACAAATCGAATTGCACATCAATAAAACACTTAACCAATTTAACAATAATAACCATAACGCAAGTACTAATTCTAATATAGTTAAGGACAGCGACCAATGTAATTGTAGGAATCTTAACAAATGACCATTGTCTAACAAATGCTTGAGTGAATCCCCTGCATGTGTATTCTATTTCCTTAGTAGAAAATCCGAGGACTGAAAAGTTTTATATTGGCAGCACTATGAACACTTTCAAAGATCGTTGGTATAAACATCACTCTTCTTTTACTAATGATACTTATCGACATAGAATTTCACTTTCAAAATATTTTTGGAATTTGAAAGAAGAAAATAATACCCCTAAAGTTAAATGGAAAATTTTAAAACTAGATAAAACATGTAGATCCTTATATGAACCTTGTTTTCTCTGTTTACAGGAGAAAATGCAGATAATCAGATATTTAAATAGGGACGAATTGTTAAATCAAAGATTTGAACTAACTGTTAATTGCGAGCATATTTCACCTTTGACCTTAAAATCTCGTTAAACTTTAAAAATTCATAATAAGTTATTTTATGATGAATAATCTTTCGATCAACATTTTAAACTTATCCTTAATAAGTTAGATTTTTTGAAGTAGTACAGTATGGCCGTTATTCCTCTAACCTGACTGGTAGTATTTTATATAGAAGTATATACGTGCAGCTGACGTTTTGACATTTTCTATTGTTTTTGTTTTATTAATGATACATATAAAACTATTTGTTTACTATTATACTCTATTAAATATGCTTTTATATGATTTATTATCTCATTTAAATGATTTATTTATATTATCTATATACTTTTAAATTTTGGTTAGTTCATTTATTTATGTATTTATTTATTTTATTATTTTAATTTTCTATATTTCTCTTTTGTAATTTTGATATATTTTTCTTATTTTTGTCTTCCTTTATTTCTTAAAGAGTCTTTTTATTTACATACTATTAAATAATTATTGTTAAATTATGCTGCCTCTTCAACGAAAATGTCAACCGTTCGTGTGTCGTCACATTGTATCAAGATTCTTTTCCAATAGACCATATGTATACGTTGAATTTTGAATCTATGGTTTTTGGTATCTCACGTGACATAGACGATTTTTTGATTGGTTGATGATTATCAACATGTCTATTTTGAATCTTTCTTTTTTTTTTTTTTTTTTTAAAAGACGATTTTATTTTTTCTTTTTTTTTTTTCACTTTTTTGCTTTAATTTTTATTTTTTTTGCTTTTCTTATTTTCTTTTTTCTTCTTTCGCGGGAAAATAGATTGTTTGTAAGTAAATATTAAAAATTTTAATAACCCTTATTTAGCACCACCTGATGAGATGTGACGATATGCATCGAAACATGAATGCACTTATGTAGCGGTTTTACATATGTTCGAATGTAATATGCCCGGGGATGTAACAGTATGAGATAGATCAAGTATCGACTATCATAAATATTGAAAAATAAAATTGACAAAGATTATTGTTTAAGGTTGATGGACACGCATGTCTTAATTAGTTATTTTTGTTTTTTGTTTTTTGTTTTACGAATTGGTCAAACCCAAACTCAAACAAAAACATTGTTTTCAATCGTTACCGATTGAATAGAATTTTATTATAAACAATTGTCTTGTAAATGGAATTTTTAAAGCATTCTGAATGTAAAAATAAAGAAAAAAGTGTGCAAAACAATAAGAAACACTACTTGCCAAAAAAAGTGAAGTTTTGTTGAAATCGGTAGAAAAATGTAGGAAATCCGATCCCATATATAAACGAACACACACACACACTCACACACACACAAACAACCTGGGTTTTATAATAAGTATAACTCGATATGAGTTGTTCCCCTTTCATTCTGGCGACAGTGATGCCTCTTAATCGTGTTTTCAAATTGATTTCGTGCAAAAACAATTGTGTTTTTTCCCATTTTCGGCGCTGTCAGAACCACCGCCAGGTAATTTTACGTAGTCCTGTGAAGTTTTGTTGAAATCGGTTGAAAAAATCCGAGCCAATATATAAACGTACAGGCACACACACACACACACACACACACACACACACACACACACACACACACACACACAACCTGTGTTTTATAATAAGTATGATATATACAGCGTGCGATGGGTAAGTTGCCGACATTTTATATTTTTAATGTTCATCTTTTTTATTTTGCCGACTGCACAGTATAGAAGATCAGTTGGGCGCCGTCTGTGAGAAAAAGAGCACCATGACGCAATTAACACCCCCATAGACTACCTTTTACCTAGAATGACTTGAATTATCATATCCCGCAGTATGTATCTCAATGCTTCGCTTCTGTATGTCTGAAAATTGAAACAATACAGGTACATTAATACAAGAAACACCAAAAGGTGCTGGCTGGAATTACAAATGTTGGTGAATTCCTGCAAACTGTTTTTGCACTCGCATTGTTCACATATAAACATACCAGTACTCTGCTGCAATTATACTTTTCCCCTCCAAAACACAAAAGGAAGAAACGAACCACTGGCTATCAATGCAGGTAGGATGTAACTAGTGATGCGCATGTCACCTAGCACAAGATACGCCCATATGACATAAAGCATCGTAAAAATCTGGTCGCAGCCAGAATTTCCCAACATGAATTTTTACCCCCTCCCGAAAAGGTACACCTGCTTATAGGGCAATCTGTCACCGAAAACGTCTGGTTTTTAACCTCTTCAAAAAAAAAAAAAAATGATCTGTATATATTGGAACCTCTTATCTTTTTGCCTAAACCTCTGGTCATAAAACTCGCACTCTACACAAGTACGCCCTTGTGCAAATTAATTCAAACAACCGCTTTAGTCTCCTTTCCTTCATCATACGATCAGTTTTATCCCCAATAGTGTGACAGGGTGTAACCGATTTCTATTTTTTCCTCAGAAATTTGCAATGCTTTGCAGCAATATGTATTTATTTTCAGGGTGTATGATGAAATTTGTTTGGCCTTGGAAAATATAGCGTCATCCGTGATTACATCAGATTTTTATCATGCCCAGACACTATTGTCTCGACCGTCGATTAGTTGTCCTACGGCCATTGTCTGCTATGGACGTTACTCCAAGGAAGTGTACGAAAATTGTAACGCTGCTCTAACACACTGCCAAGCCTTACCAGTGAGCAAATGAAAGTACTATATACTAGTCCGGAAACTCTCCTGATTTAAATTCAGTCAGGAATATGTCATCAATCTGTAAGGGATAACTTCGTGGAATGGCCATACAAAGTACTAACGGGAACACTGGATCATATTTCATAGGAAAAATATGAAAAAAGTAAATAAAAACGTTTTGTTTCCATTAATTTGCACAAGGGTGTATATATGGCATAATCTATATTTAAAAATCACTATGAATGCAGATTTTTATCGAATTAAAGCTTGTCTTTGTAATTTACCCCTGAGGATGATCTTATGAAAAGGTCGAAAGTACTTGGTTAAAAAAAAAAAAAAAAACTACGGCTATTTCTCAAAGTATATGTTTGAAAATTGATTCTATTCTAAGAGCTCTTTTTCATTTTTGGGATGGAAATGTTTCACTCTTCTGCCAAGTCTTTCCCATGCCAAATTTGGGGGTGGCTTCAAATTTTTGAAATGTAGTATATATATATATATATATATATATATATATATATGAAGAGTTTAACCTAAATGGCATCCAGGGTAAGACGATAAACTTCATCTGCGTCCTGGATAAGACGATAAATTACGTCGTCTTTGGTATGACGATAAACTACATCCAACAGCAAGGCCTGTTCCCAGGTCCACTTTGACCCGGGCTGGTAGCACCTGTTAGAGTCCCAATTTTGGGGAAAAAAAACATTATGAAAGTGTAAAAATAGGTTTTAATACCAGCAATACATTTTTAAAAAATATTACTGGCAATAAAAATCTTGTCGGTCTTAAATATCTCATTGAGGTTGATATGACGTAAAACAAAATAAACCAAGCCAAACCTTCCTTCCTTCCTTCCTTCCTTCCTTCCGTCCGTCCATCCTTCCGTCCTTTCTTTCTTTCTTTCTTTCTTTCTTTCTCATAGTCCATCCTCTTAATCTCCTTCCTTCTATTTGGTCGTTCTTTCTTTCTTTCTTTCTTTCTTTCTTTCTTTCTTTCTTTCTTTTTTTTGGCCTTCCTTCCTTTCTTTTTCTCTTTTTTCTTTTTTTTTCTTTCAAAGTCTGAGCATTTTGATTCAGTGATCTATTATTTTATAGAATTTTCTTCCTTTTTCATCTTTTTTTTTATTTTCCACTTATTATATATATTATAATATTCTTTCTTCCTTTTTTCTTTCTTCCTTTCTTATAAAATGTTTTCATTTTTCTTCTTTTCTCTCTACTGTATATTATATGAATTTCTTTCTTTCTTACTTTCCAAAATTTTTTCTCTTTTCGAGTTAACGCTTCTTTCTTTCTTTCTTTCGATCTTTCTTTCTTTCTTTTACTTTCCACAATTTTTTTCTCTTTTCGAGTTAGCTATTCTTTCTTTCTTTCTTTCTTTCTTTCTTTCTTTCTTTCCACAATTTTTTCTCTTTTAGAGTTACCTATTCTTTCTTTCTTTTTTCTTCCTTCCTTGCTTCCTTTCTTTCTTTCTTTCTTTCTAAGTCTGAGCATTTTATTTCAATGATCTCTTATTCTATAGAATTTTCTCACTTTTTCATCTTTTTTTATTATTATAATATATATATATATATATATATATATATATATATATATATATATATATATGAAAAGTCTAACCTAAATGAAATATTAGGACAATTTCCAGTTATTTTCAAAACGTTGATGACAAAAAGAATTTTCCCGGCAATAAATCGCAATTTAATAGAACCTGGTCCGTAAATATCTTGATATACAATGAATTAGTAAGACATATATCATAATAGTTTAAAAAAAAATAACAGCTTGTCCATCTCACCCTTAAACACATCCAGTTAATAGGAATAATCACAATTTAACCCACCCTGTTCCTATAAAAAAATGACGAATTACCAGAGGAACGGTGACACCCACACCGTATTTTTAGGAGTTAACCCCGCCACTCATACGCACACCTCTTTACACCACGCCACCATCGACCAACAACGGCGATATGGTGCTGAGAGTAAACATGCTACAACATCAGGACAAATTTAAACGACTCTTCTCCGCTCCGTCGCCTGGTTTCTGCACACTTAACTACCCGCTTTCCTCATAAAACTGTGGCGAAAGTCGACTGGGTGGAAGGCGATGGTCGGGTAGATCTTTGGAGCGAAAGCCGTAAGAGAGCCTCACAAAAAAAAAACGTAGCGAACACCTGGGTACGATCAAGTGGGTACTATAAAATAATTTCGTCTCTTCTTTTTATTTATTTGTTGATATATTTTTTTTTTTTTTTTCGAATTCATTTTTATTTTTCTGGGTGTATTGTTCGTGACCTGATTAAGACATCTTCCATGATTTCAGCCTTTTGAATGTTAGCATTGTACGCTCGTAAATAATCCAGCGAGGAGGTCATACGCAAATATATTGTGCATAGATAGATAGATAGATAGATAGATAGATAGATAGATAGATAGATAGATAGATATGAATAGTCTGTGATAGATATGAATAGACTGTGATAGATAGATAGATAGATAGATAGATAGATAGATAGATAGATATGAATTGACTGAGATAGATAGATAGATATGAATAGTCTGTGATAGATAGATAGATATGAATAGTCTGTGATAGATAGATAGATAGATAGATAGATAGATAGATAGATAGATAGATAGATAGATAGATAGATAGATAGATATGAATAGTCTGTGATAGATAATAGATAAATAGATAGATATGAATAGACTGTAATAGATAGATATGAACTGACTGAGATAGATAGATAGATAGATAGATAGATAGATAGATAGATAGATATGAATAGTCTGTGATAGATATGAATAGACTGTGATAGATAGATAGATAGATAGATAGATAGATAGATAGATAGATATGAATAGACTGTGATAGATAGATAGATAGATAGATAGATAGATATGAATAGACTGTGATAGATAGATAGATAGATAGATAGATAGATAGATATGAATAGACTGTGATAGATAGATAGATAGATAGATAGATAGATAGATAGATAGATAGAATAGATAGATATGAATAGACTGTGATAGATAGATAGATATGAATAGACTGTGATAGATAGATAGATAGATAGATAGATAGATAGATATGAATTGACTGAGATAGATAGATAGATAGATAGATAGATAGGTATGAATAGTCTGTGATAGATATGAATAGACTGTGATAGATAGATAGATAGATAGATAGATAGATAGATAGATAGATAGATAGATATGAATAGTCTGTGATAAATAGATAGATATAAATAGGCTTAGGTAGATAGATAGATAGATAGATAGATAGATAGATATAAAATATCCAAATTAAGCATGTAAAAATCCAAACTATGCATATATATGTGTGTGTGTGTGTGTGTGTGTGTGTGTGTGTGTGTGTGTGTGTGTGTGTGTGTATGGTAAAAAATATATTCCGACTGCTTTGTTTACTATTTAAGTTGGGAACGTAGAGAACATTAGGCTAATGTGAATTTATAAAAGATAACACGTTTTACTTGTAATAAGCTATACAAAAAGACCGTTTTCTGAAATGTAAGCGGAGTCTTTTTACAGCTACGCTGATGATATTATTAGAGAAGTTAAATGAACAATATGAATCTTAATTCGAAATATATTTTGAATCAGTTAAATCCAAGTAAAATGAAAAATGCCACTAAGATGCAAATGGGGTTACTGAGAATAAAAGAGAATGAAAAGCATTTCGAAAAACCCAATCCTAAACACGAAACCTTGACTCTCGTTCAAAACACACGGGAGGAGTGTGAACTGAACGATTGGTGAACCTATCTACTTCTATTGATTTTCTTTAAGCTTTTCACCCCAAGCAAGGCGGGAAGCCACTAGGACGCAAGGGGTTACAGAAGATTTAGAGCAAGATCAGATAGGATTGATAGAGGAAAGGATGAGGAGAAGGATAGTGGATAGATCAAGGCAACTGGAGATGTCCATTGACATTACATTTGAATAGTTGGAGATTATAGCTCTCAGGGAAACTGGAATAGGGAAGGGAGTTCCACAGGCGAGAGGTGCGAGATATGAAGCTATTGGAGTAGAAGAGACGGCTACATTTAAAAGTTTCTACAGTGAAAGGGTGAGAGCAGGATGCTAGCCTCGTAGGGCGCTTGAATTCATGAAGTCTGGGAACCAGCGAATGCAGCTCCTCGGAGCAATTACCATGAAAGTATTTGTAAAAAAAAGACAGAGAGAGGCGACGGTGCGTCTGTGAGAGAGCAACTGTAGACGAGATGCCAGAACAGGGCCAATTATATTGCATATCCGACTCTGGAGCTTATCAAAAACTCCTTATGGCGAAGACTTTTGGAGTACACAGCTGAAGCAGTCTTTACAGCGTGCATGGGCAATTTTATCAAAAAATGGGGAAAATGAGATGTAGTTAATCATAAGGCAAGGTAATTTTTCTTTCACCGTACCTCAGCCATTTTCACTACGGAAGACCATACGCGTAAGTATCTGCCTCAGAAACTGGCAAAAGTCCCTTTTTTATTTAGAGAAAACAGTTTTGATTATAATCTGATCACTGATAACATGATGAGTGATTAACACACGCTGCTGCATGTCACTTGTTTCGAATTTATTCATTTGCTAAGACAATTATTTTAACAGTAAAATATATATTTATACCCTAGAGAAGTTCCCATTTTCTAAAGCAAAAATGTTTACACGTACGATATTCCTTAGTAAAAATAGCCAATGGTTTAAAGTGATGAAAAAGTTACCTTCGACGAAATGTTAAAAAAACTGAATAAAAATTGTACATCATCAGTGTTTCTGTATATTGTTATGTATGAGAAAGTGTGAGTGAAAAAGTGAGCCCGAAATGAAACGAATCAAATTTTAATAAAGGATATTTTCCTCATGAAATTAACCGTCTTAATCAGAAAGCCAAACGGGCTACATGTGGTCCGCGGACCGCAGTTTGTCCATAACTGCTTTAGAAGGAACCGTAGACCCAATTCTAACCAGGAAATAAGGAATAATTTTATTCCAATGTTTATAATCCTCCATGTTTCTTAAAGGAAAGGGAAGCAAGGCAGATCGAAAATGTCTTTATATTACCGCCAAATACACTGTGGAAGCGCAGTGATCAGTACAATAATTATTTGTCATAGTCTGCACCGGTGCACACCGTGCGTTTGCTGTTGAACCGTTTTTTATTAAAACTGAGGACGCTGAAATTTTAACACAGAGATATTTTAGTGCTCATTTCATGATACGTCAGAATTATACTGTTCCAGATAGAAAATTGATACTGCTATGGGTCGAACATTTCATGGCCGCAGATTCATCGCTTAAAAGAAAGCCACCTGAACGACCTTGAATTTGAATTCTCTATATGTATAGCAAATAAAGGTCACCATTTGGAGGATGTCATCTTTTAAAAACAAATAAATAAAAAAACTGTAGCCCTTTGTTTAAACAACAGGAAAATATTTTTTTAATAGTAGTTACTGTAGTCTTTTTATCAAACTTTAAAATACAGGAGGTATTTTTGCCGCACAGTGTACATAGCATTTGTGAAGGTTGGCACTTATTTATATTTTCTTAATAAAGGGCAAAAAAGGAAAAACAGGAAAAGAGACAAAGCAGAATTTAATAAACAATGGCTTCACCAGAGAGTGTGAATAACAGCAAAAAATGTCATGTGAAAAAAGTGAGGACAAGAAAAAACTGTCATATGGGAAAAGTGAGGACAAAAAAATGATAGATACAAACGTTGGTGCTACATATTTCCTCCCTTCCGTCCATATTTTATTGCTCCATTTTTTTGTCTGCTGATGAATTGCAACATGACTTTTTCTAGTAGTGCCTTTTTTTTTGTGAAATTCTTCTCAATGTTTGCCACCCACTCTCTTTTATTTATTTATTTTAAATATTTGTGGTAGTATAGCTGTCATATATCACTTATAGAAAGCCATAGGTTAACAGTCGCACTGCCATCACAAATTAACCAATATTTGATATCTTTGAGCAGGGACAGTCGAATGTGAACTATCTATCCCAGTGGATTGAATAAAGAGTTTGTTTCAAAATTCAGACACCTGAAGGTGGCCAGTGGGTACAATGACAAAAAAAAAGTTTCTAAAATAACAAAGATAAGAAGCTTAGTTCAAAGAGCACAATGATAGATACAAGCTTTTCACAGAAATTAAAATAGAATTCGTTACAAACATTACCTTGAAAACTTCAAGTGCTGAACCACCATCTCCAAATTCAAAGAAGATGAAGAGCTGATCCTTATCAAATAAATCTGTAAAAAAGATGGAAATAATTTAACTTTATTTTTTACCTAATTGCATATTTAAAAGTTTTTTCTGTCTTGAACATGAATTGAATACTGGATAAAGGCCCTCAATAATGTATTTTTGTTACTTGTACCATGGATTTGTGTCCCAAACTCATTTATTTTTCTTACTAGACATGCTCATTTCATGTTATGTCGGAATGATGCTGTTCCGGATAGAAAATCGATACTGCTATG